ATTTCAAATAATGTAATATTTTAGTATTAAAAAGTATTGCTTATGGACAATATATATTTCAACCTGAACAAGGTCACAAATAACAAACATGGGTCACAAGGGGTTTAGTGTGAGGGGATAGTAGAGTTCTTGACCCTTATGTTAGAGTGATCAGCCTAGGTGTTGTTGACCAGCAAGTTAGGTGAGGGGGCTCAAGTGTTTGCTAACCAGCTATGTGGGTAATTGACTGGCCCCCAAAATATGTAAAGCTGTATGTCTGGCAGGTGCTAGATGTTAGGACTACAATTCTAAACATGGCAGACAAGGGTTCTTACCCTACCTATGTTTTTAGCCAGAGTAGGGAAATGGAGGGTAGCAAGGCTTTGATATACTTACTGTGGGGACAGTGGCATGCCAGTGAATGCTTAATCGTCATTTCTAGAGGCATTCATTTGCTGCTTTTGCTGCTTTTGGAGGCATAAATATTCTAAGGCTGATTTCAAGCTACCAAGGTAATATTACTGAACTCTGAGTGGGAAGAGATCTATACAATCTGCTGACTTGGCACTGGCACCCTATTTAAAGGAGTCCTTAGAAAGGACATTTCATCTAGTCTTTGGGCTCACTTCTTACAGGCTTAGGGGAAAAGAATTTAGGTGGCTTAGGCATTAATTATTCAAATTCAGAAGGAATCAAATATTAGGAAGTGTAAAGTGCATTTATCATACCTATAAGTACTTTGTAAGTATGGGTGCTTTGTAAATATTTCTACTGTGATCTATAAACAGAATCTAATAAATGTAGTTGTAAGTTATGATCAGCTTACAGATCAGGGCTTGGATCTTCCCCTTTTATATGACCTCCTTTTGGCATTGCTCCCCCCACAATAATCCCAGCTTACTGATCCTCATCATTCATTCACGTCCAGAAGCATTTACAGACCCCTTGCTCTGTGCCAGTCACGTACTAGGAACTTGAATACTTGTCCTCATGAGGCATCCAATCCACAGGAAGAGCATCCTCCCATCTCTCTGATTCTTTGTAAATTGATTCTCCTTCTGCTTGCTCAGTTCCCTCCTGTGTTTGCATGCTGGCTTTACCTCTGTGAATATATTTCCCCAAGGAAAGTAGCCAAAAATTTCTTTCAGTGATCCCCTTTATCTTTCTTAAGGCTTCTTCCCTCAGAGTGGCAGATGTCCTTCTGTCAAAATCTGGACTTTCCTATTGTATCTTTTCCTATTGTGTAGTCTATAACTCTAACCACCTCACCTATCATTCTAGAAAATACCTTTTTTTTTTAAAAAAGATTTATTTATTTGTGCATACAGAACTGGGGTACAGGCCAGAGGCTCAGGGGCGGTGAGAGGCTTCACCAGAGACAGAGTAGGGAGCAGAACAGGCAGGTCAACGAAGTACACTGCTGAGGGGAGCAGTGGGCAGGTCAGGAGAGGTCTGCCATGCCATGTGGTCACCTCTGGGGCAGGCGGAATCGAACTCATGCAGAAGTGGCTTTAGCTCCTTAGTGCTGCGCTTTAACCTGCTGCACCACCAGGGAGGGCCAAAATACCTTTTGAATGCCTATGTCCTAGCTAATGTGCAAGGTACAGGGGAGACTCTACTTAAATGTAAATATCCTCATTCATTTGACATAATAATTTTTCAAAATTGTCTATTTACACTGTGTCCAGGCCCTTTTTATGTTAAATTACTTAAGAAATAAACAATTCATAAATTTGGGAGAAGCATAAAAGAGGTAATAATAATTATGTAAGCTCACAACCTAAGTCTAGCCACTAAGTTTTTGGTCATTCGTTATGCATTCTTGTAGAGGAAGTATAAAAGTAGAATAAAACTTATTATAGTATGAATATTTTATCATCTTTTTCAGTTTTCTTTGAAGATGACTTAAAGTGCTGGTATAGGGGCCTTCCTGGTGGCCTAAGGGTTAAATCTCAGTGCTATCAAACTATCACCTCTGCACTGGCCTGAGTTTAATCCTCCATGAGGGAGCTGACGCACATATGGTACAGCAGACCTCTCCTGTCTAACCTGCTAATCCCCTCAGCAATGTATTTCAGTAGATCCGTCTGTTTTGCTCCCCACTCTGTCTCTATTGAATCCTTTCATGCTTGCCCTCCACCTCTGGTCTATACCCCAGTTCTTTTATGCACAAATAAATAAATCTTAAAGTGATGATAGAACATTTTATTTAAGCCACAGTTCATTTAATTAGCTCCCTATTGCTGGCAGTGATTTTTCATTTGTTGGTGTTGACTATCTTTATTCTAAGCTACAAGAAAGCAAAAACCAATTGTTTGTTCTTCTTAAGTAGGACTCCTAACAAAAATTTTGATTATGCATATATGTTGTGAGCCTCTCATTACCATCAAAAGTAAAAGAAGCCAGTCTGCACATGCAACCCATGTTGGTATAAAGGTAACCAGAAGTTCTGGGGAGGGTTGGGAGAAAGAAAACCTACTACTAAATCCCTTTGATTAGTTTTCAGTATTCTTGGGAGAAGCAGAACTTTGTATATAGTCTTGGAATTTGTAGATTTAGAGCTCACTCAGTGATTAACCTAACTTTTTCATAAATGAGAAAATTAAATCAAAGACTGTTAACTGACCTCTTAGTTTTTGTACTCTTCTATGCTCTTTTCACTACAACCTGCTAACCTCACTTACCTCACTTTTAAAATACAGAAAGAACATATATTTAGCTACATGTTGTTACAGGAACTGTTTCTCCTTATAGTGCCCGTTCTTTGGTATGAAAATCTAAGGTGTCAAGAAAAAGAAAAGCATAAGTTCACACAAACACTTTACATGAACACTCCTAGTAGCATTACTAATTACAACCAAAATGTGGAAACTAAGCAAATGTTTCACAGGGAATGGATAAATGAAGTTTGTACATTCATACAGTGGGATAGTCATCAGTATAATAGAAAGGGACTATTGATAAATGCAACAATACAAATTAATTTCTAAATAATTGTATTGACTAAAAGAAGCCAAACCAAATGTTACAACTGCATGATTCCATTATCTAAACTTCAGGGAAGTGCAAACTAAGTGACCAAAAAAACTGATTCCTGGTTACCTGGGGATAGAGGTGTGGAAGAAGAACCTAAAAGGAGGAGGGGAAACTGGAGGGTATATTCCTAATTTTCACTTAGAAATTATCTCAGGGGTTAAGCTATAACAAATTGTGTATTTTAAATACGGGCAGTTTATTTTATGTCAACTATATTAAGTTCTTTAGTTTGTAAGCTCTACCTCAAATTTGAAAAGTAGAACATGCCCAAAAAGTCAGTTAAAGGATCTGAAGCACAAGAACATTAAAATTACTTCTGGAGATAACTGACAACTAAGGTTCTATTCTAGTATGATAGCTTATCTGAGCAGAACATTGCCATGAGAAGTGCAACGTCATAAAAAAATAAAAAATAGAAAACGACATTTTTGTCCCTCTGGTAATCATGTCATTTCCTCATGCTTATACAATCGCTCTGTATCATAATCTTTTTAGTGTTTCTATTCAATTTGGGTTTTTAAAGAGCCAACAACCTAGCTGTATTTTCCCTGAACTATTACCCTGCTCTGTTTTGTACATGATGCCCAGTCCCTGGTGTGTGTGTACATATGTGGGTGTGTGGAAAGCGACACTGTATAAATTTTAGCAAACGCTGTTATTTGCTTTGAGATTTTTGTAGTCGGAACTCAGCATCGGCACTGGAAATGTACCAGAACTTTCTAGAAACCATACTACAAGCTACTGTATCGGTTCCCTAAATATGTGAATTCACCGAACAAATTTTTCTATTTAGATTTTCCACTTATATTTTAAAACAAAGAACTGCTACACCCAGTGCACAGCACCAGTAAGGATTTTTCTCTTTTTAAAGAAAACACTCATAAAGTTTTATTGCCAACCCCACCCCCGCCGCCAAAAATCTCATTTTCTTAGCGCTTTTAGTAGATAATCACTCCCATTCTGCAGATGGGGAGACGCACACAGGTTTTAGGGTGGGTTTTTCTGTACAGTACAGAGAGGCGAGAAGGAAGCCACGCTCAACTTTTCAGTTCCATTTTGAGAAACGAACACTTCGAACTCCTGAGAAACGATAGCCCAGCGAGAGCAGAAGCCTTTCTCCACAGCCAGGGTGTGGGTCGGGAGCCAAG